CCCCCCCCCCCCCCCCCCTTCAGTCACAGATCTGATGTCCGAGTGAATCCCCAAAAATGTCCGTCCGGCGTACCTTTCCCTCCCTCCCTCGCTCCTCTGGTTCGTGTCTCTCTCTTCACGTATGCACTTCATTCGCAGACAGCCCCTCCCCCCTCCATCCCTCCCTCTCTGACTCCCTCATTGTCTCACCGCCTGCCATCCCTGGTCAAATGCCGTCCTCAGCCTCCTGCGCACCGGCCAACGATGCAGGGCACGCATGGGCAGCGCAGACACACGTCCATCCTCAGCTGCATCGGAAGCATCCTCGTCATCATCATGTCCATGGTCATTGTCTTCAAGCTCGGGGGCGTCGGCCCATCGCCCGTCGATGATCGATTCCAGCAGCCTCGACAGCTCCGTGCGCCGGCTGGCCGAGCCATCCTCCTCCTCGGTCCTGTCTGCTTCATCATGGCCACCCCGCTTGGTCAGCACGAACAGCCGATACCGGTCGTTGCGACACAAGACGCGATACACCGTCGCCGACGCCCACATGTCGCCCCCCTCTCCCCCTCCCTCTCCGTGCTGCTGCATCTGCGAGTCGAGCACCGAGTGGTGCTCGAGGCCATCGTTGTCTGGCGATGCAGCCACCACTGTCGGCCGCCGGGATAGCCCCGTGTCTCTGAGCAGTCCTCCACTGCCCACTACACCCCCGCCGCCCCAGCCAGGCTGCCGGCGCACTGAAGAAGGAAAGGGCCGCTGCGATACACCAACAGATGGCTGCTGACGACAAGAAGGAAGTGTGGTGGGCCTTGGACGCACGATTGCCGGCCCCTCTGTGACTGTGATGCGGTCGGCCGCCGTGACGTTGAGGGCTGACAGCACGGGGTAGGGGTTGCGGCAGTCTCGAAGCGCGCACACGAGCCGCCCACCGGGCCGGAGTAGCCTGATGGCCTCCCTGCTGCAGAAGTCGGCGAGGAAGCCGATGGCGTCTCCAGCGTGCCGGAACTCCTCGCTCTCTTCGGATGGGGCGAGGCACATGACGATGGCGTCCAGCAGGTGGGGCGGGAGGGGGACGGGAGGGAACGCACCCACCACCTCCACACGGCTCCCCTCACTGCAGGCATCAACGGATGGATGGAGAATAAAGACACACACATCAGGAAGGAAGAGTATCGCTATCAGACAGAAGGTACCGACCGACCGCATCGGGCAGGCAGGCTGACCTGAAGTGTCCCATTCGTTTGGCCTTGAGAGAGTTTGCCCTGGTGAGCACACTGCCCATGGGCCTTGGATGGGAGCACAGCACTGTCACGTTGGGCGCCATGGCAGCGGCTTCGATGGCCAGGGTCCCCGAGCTGCTCACGGGGTCCATCACGACAGCACCCGACCGCACGCCGTCGAGCGCCAGATGGGCCATGAGCACGGCTAGCGAGCGATGCAGATCGTGGAACTGGAAATGCATCGACACGGCCTGAGGATCCATCCGCACACACGCATCAACGAAGAAACAACTGACGGGCTGAGGATGGTTGCCTTGCTTCTGACATGCACAGCACACATACCCACCCGATAAGGCACTTCCTCCCGCCGCAAAGAGGACGGTGAGGAGGACATCGGGGCAAAGGGGATGGCGATCGTGAGTCGGCTGCCGTCGAGGAAGCCCACGAGGGTGCACTCGGCGTCGTGCAATTCCACGCTCCACCCCTCATTGGCCAAAGCCCGGTTCATCATACGGATGACGGCCATGGCGTCATACTTGTGCCTCCCGCTGCGCACGCAGCACCCCCTCATCTTGAGTGACCGGTCGCGTATCCGTTCCCACACGGTCTGGTCGCCCTGCACGGCTCCCTGCCACTCTGCCCATGTGACGAGGGCCTTCTCCATCGCAGGCACGGCTTCATGCAGCACCCGCTGAATCTGGTGGCTGGCGTGCCGCCTGTCGCGGATCGGGACACCGCTGGTCGCCAGGACGTAGGCGTACAGCGGGGTGAGGCCGAGCGCCCTGAGCCTGTCGATAGACACCTGTGCCGCATTCACCGACACCACCAGCTTGCCGCCACCAGCCCACCCACTATCTTCCCTCGGCAAGATCACTATCGCCTCTCGAGGCACACCGAGCCGTGACGATATGTAGTCGGCTGCCACGCCCTCTAGCCCCCCCGGCACCAGGAAAAGATAGTCGCACACGTCATGACTCGTCAGCCGCTGCCGCACCGGTGGGAGCGTTGGAGATGTCGCAGCGTGAGGCCGATCAGGTGGACCGTTGACGTGGGCATGGTGTGGCCTGACATTGTGCCGTGAGTAGAGACGGGTTGGCGGGGTGAAGCTGGAAGCACTGAAAAAGAAGAGCCAGGGCAGGAGGGCGAATAGAAGGGACAGAGGGCAAAGGCGCTGGCGCCTGGTGCTCCCAACAAAGGGCAAGATGGATGATGCAGAACACGTCCACCCGCTCGTATCCTCGACGCGTGTGTAGCCACATGGACATGCTGAAGAAGGCGGGCGGCGCCGACAGAGTGGCGGAAGGCGTGCTGGCCGATGAATATGCTCGCCGCCGCTTGATGAATGGCTCCTCATAGCAGCTGATTCATCGCCAACCATTCAGGCTACTTGATCTCCTACGATTCTGCGAAGATCTCTTTGGAAACGTGCAGCTAAGCGCCACGTGCATCCTTCTGCCTCCTCGTAGGCTTCTCCTTCGTTGTCATTGAAGTGCGAGCTGAAACCGCTGGGGGAAGTGCGAGCTGCAGTTCTTCTTGGACAAGCAGACGGACAGTGCGCGTTCCCGAGATGATGCTGGAGATGCCTAGCTTGAGCGCTGTCCGCTCCTGCGGTGCCTGACGATCTTGCTGCCAGAGAGACTCGCGACCGGAAAGGCCGCCGATTGCCTCTGAGGCGCGGCAGTCAGAGGCGTTTAGGCGAGCAGGAGCATCCACAGGTCGAGTTATTCATCTTGGGTGAGTGAATCTACCCTACCGACGAGGCGACGGATGCAGCCATCGCAGTCCAGTCCTACCTTTGCGGCTGCGGCAAGCAGCACCAGTCCTACACGCCCGCGAGCTCCCAGCCTACCGCCCCTGCCACAGCTGCTTCAATTCCGCCTCCCTGGCTCACCGCCCGAGTCATCACAGCAGCAGCAACAGGCTGGCCAGGCCGCAGGGCGGGGTGCAACTGTGCCCACCCAACATCCGCTGCCGGGACCTCTCTTCCAAATGCGATGGCCGCCGGTCACCGGCCAGCAGCCCCTTCGTGCGCCCTCTCTCCGAGCGCCGTTCCCCTTCCCACCTCTCCTTGTGACGCATCCCCGCTTCCTGCCCGACCCAAGGCTGCCTCGTCCGCCCTCCCATCCGATGGTGGGAGGCCTGCCGTCGCGCCCTATGCCCTTCTGGGATGCAGGCGCGGTTGCCAGAGGCATGGCCCCTCGACCTCCGGCTCCCAAGAGGGGTGGGAGGGGAGGGCGGGGTCGAGGCGGCCGGGCTGCCTCGGCTGCGGGGGCGTCGAGCAAGAAGAGGGCTCGAAACGGCTCGGGTCGTGGCGGTCGGGTGCTGGAGGACTTGGCGACTGTCGGCGGGAGAATGGAGGACGAGGAGAGCGAAGACCAAGACGACAATGAAGGTCAGTCAGTCGGCCACCAAGGTCATGGAGGGGAGTGCATTTGGGCCACATTGGATGGCATTATGTTATGACCATCATTCCGTCGTGCATTCATTGATCAGGTATAGAGGAGGGTATGGGTTCGCTGCCGGCCAAGCGTATGCGCCTCAAGCCCATCACCGGCCAGCGGTACGGCTGGTCAGATGAGGATGAGCACATGGAGGAGATTCCATCCGAGAGCGGCAGCGACCCCGCCCTCGCACGCCAGAGGAGGAACGGCAACGGCAGCAAGAGGGGCGGCAGCAGGGGCGGCCTGTCGTCCGCCCCACCATCGGCCAAGAGGAAGAGTGCCGCTGGCAAGAAGGGCGCTGGTGGGTTTGGCAGGACGGTGTCCAATGAGGGCAGTGAAGACCTGGCCAGCCCCACCTCACCGGTTGAAGACTTCTCGGACGCTGGTGGGTGCGCACCGCACCGATCGCATGGATGTACCAAAGAAATGTACTCCTATTATCTGCTCATCTGTTGGTGTGGTCGTCAGTGCCCGAGATCGACCTTCACCCGTCCGCATGGGACGAGGCGGCCGAGAAGCTGCCCGAGCTGCCCAAGGTGAAGTGGCATCCATGGCGGATGGTGTGGTGCGCCTACCGATACGCCGGCCGGCCACGACACGCCAGAGAGTTCCATGCCAGACGCTTCGGCTTCCTCAAGGCGCGTGAGCTGGCCATCGAGGCGTCGCAGAGCAAATCCAAAGATCTTGGTACCCAGCCCAGCCAACACACGCCCAGCACATGGATTGACATCTCACTAACTAACTTACCTCTGTTGATTTTTTCCTGTTGGGTGGGTGTGGTGTGTGTAGCTGCTCGTGCGAACGACCCGACGCTAGTGATCAAGTACATGGACATTCACCCGGACGCGTGGGATCTGGTGGCGCAGAGTGGCGCCCTCAAGGTGGTGGGCATCCGGTGGAACGTGCGGGACACCTCATGGGTGGCCGTCATCGACAGCGTCTACTGGAAGAAGGCATTCAGTGAGCAAACTGACTGACATACATCACACATACCTTACCATACAGATGCGCGTCTACGTGTCCTCATATTTGACTGACTGTGTCATCCATCCATCGATGATTCAGTTGACTGTGAGTACCCTCCCCCGATCGACCCCGATACCAGCAGACAGCTCAGCCGCATGAAGGGCTTCGCCGCCCGCAAGTACGGCTACCTCCGCGCCAGGCAGTTCGCTATCGACCACCTCAAGAACGTCCGGCAGGTCGTCGAGGACCGACTCAACGCCATCCGCACCGGAGCCATCAACCCCCTTGACATCCCCGTCCCCACCTGGTGCCACGAGAAGGCCGGGGGCGCTGCCAAGAGGGCACCTGCCTCGAGGAAGAAGGCCGCAGAGGGCAAGAGCGAACCCAAGAAGACCAAGAGCAAGGCCAAGAAGGCTGCGGCGCCGCCCGGGCTCGGAGGCGGAGACACGCCATTCGCCGACGCGGGCATCAACCCCATTTTCACCGACCTCTTCCGCGCCCCCAGCTCCCCAGACGACAACATGCCCCTCAGCGAGGCCTTGCCGGCTCGTGCAAAAGCAGGCAAGAAGGGTGTTGCTGATGTGGAGATGGCCGCCGTGGGCGAGGAGAGGCCCCGGGTGCGATCCAAACAGCTCCACATCGACCTCCCGTCGCCCCCGCTCCCCTTCCCTCCGCGTGAGCGTTCCTCCCAGAGCGTGCCCACCCGAGTGGCCAGGTCCCTGACAGCCGCGCACTACGGCAACTTCTGCCCGCAGGAGATCGGCAAGTGCTACACGGAGGACCCGCCGGCCGACCGCTGGGACGAGCTGGGCGGGTCGCTGCCGGTGCTGCCGTCGGTTGAATACGGGGGCAAGTTCACCGTCAAGTACGAGGGCAAGTGCTGGGAGGTGCGGACCAACTACAAGGTCTCGGGGCTCAGCGCCAGGAAGTATGGCTTCTGGTACGGGCGGGAGAAGGCGGTTGAGGAGGCCATGGGCATGCACCGCGAAAAGGGCAACAGGGCGGACGCCATCCCACACGATGGTGAGCGAGAGAGGGTAGGAGTGATTAAAACGGGACAACGCTGGCAACGGAATTGTGTGTGTTGTGTATATGTGTGTGTTGTGCAGATGAGTTGCTGCGTCGGTCGTGGGAGTCAGTGGTGGGTCCCTCTGCCGCCTACCACTATGCCCAGAGGATCACCTTCGACCCAACCAGCAACATGTACGTCCCCCGCTTCCACCTCAACGGCAAAGAGCGGCTGCTGGGCGAATACCCTTCCTTCGACAAGGCCGCCATGCGGTTCGGAGCACACACACACACACACACACACACAGAGACAGCACTCGTTGTCTATGGTCGTCGATTGTAGGTGGGACGAGGAGGCGATCCGCTGGCTGGGCCACCAAGGTGCGCGCCGGTTCATCAAGTACCTCAAGGGCGGCGGCCCCCACGTGCCCAAGCCCTCCCTCCCGATGTCTGAGGGGCTGCTGGGCGGCGAGGTGTGGGACAGTTACATGGACAGGGACACCAACGCGGTCAGTAAGAAAGCTGGGACGGACGGAGGGAGGGAGGAATGAATAGCCAGCAGGTGTGTGTGTGCGTGTGCGTGTGGTGATGTCACGCGACGTGTGCAGTTTGACGTGATTGTGATCGGTGCGGGTATTGCGGGGCTGCTGTGCGCCAAGAGGCTGGTCAAGAAGGGATTCAAAGTCATCATCCTCGAAGCACGCGACAGGTAGGCCAACACACTGAGACACGCGGCCATGGTGATGTCACACATGTCTGTCTGTCTGTGCGTATTGCAGGATGGGTGGTCGCATCAGCCATGTGAGGCTCGAGGGCGGCGGCAAGAAGGGCGGCGCTGCCGATGACGAGGAGCGAACAGTCGAGGTCGGCGCCGACTACATCTACGAGGCTAACAGAGACAACCCACTTTACACGTAAGACGCGCAGACACGCAGAGAGAGAGGAGAATGAACCACCATGGGGCCTGTTCCGGCTCGTTGCTTGCAGTGAGGCCCTCGAGCATCGAATGCAGTTCGGCTTCATCGCCGGTAAGTAAGGGCAGACACCACCATGGATGGAAAACGATATATACCGCGGTGGCAAAAGCAGCACTTGCGGTCGTTGTCTCTCTCTCTCTCTCTCTCTTTCTGTGTCTGTGTGTCTGTGTGTCTGTGTGTGTGTTGTAGGTAATGGCTACAACGAGCCGACGGACTACTGTCGCTACTACGACACCAAGTACAACGTCGCTCTGCCCTTCTCAACAAACGTCAAAATGAGCATCATTGCAGAGGTGCGGGATACACGCGCAGGCCACGCACCCACCCGCATATGGGAGTCTCACTGTGTGTTCCCTATTCGCTTGCAGAAAGTCGCCGCCGAGCTGCACGAGTGGGCTGAAGACCTGCACAGAGACGACATGGTAACCACCCACACACACGCACACGCACACGCGAGCCACTGATCGGCCAACTCACATATCACCCATCCCCCCCTTCATCAGCTGCCCACGTCCACCACCGACCTGTCGAGATGCCGCGAGGACCCCCCTGTGTGGGAGCGGCGTGAGCACGACGGCCTGGGCAAGCTGGTGCTGGTGGAGGGGCGGCACATCGACTCGCCATTACACATGTACAAGCAGAGGATGCGCGAGACCGGCGCTGCCAGCATCGTGAGTGGGGCAATGGGCGATGGGGAGAGAGAGAGACCTGGATGGATGGATGGATAGAGTGGTCGGTCCACTTGATTTGCATGGTGGTTGTGTTGTGTTGTGTCAGCCGCTGTCTGGTGCGTACGAGGATGCGTTGATGGTGGTGTTGGAGCGGTTAGGGATCGATGGCCTCACTGACATACAGAAAGGTGACTGACACGAGAGACAGACAAGGTGACAGGCAATGGGGACACAGCCACAGTGACATCTGTCTGTGCTGTTGGTTCAGCTGTGTTGGACAAGATCAGGATGCGGTGGTGGGGCACCTGCGCCACGCTCGACCAGCAGTCCCTCGCCACAGAGGTCAGTCCAGTCCCTCCACACACACACACATTCGCCCATAATATATGTGATGTGTACGTCTCTGTGTACGTCTCTGCCATCCATCCATGGTCCCTCCCTCAGCATGCGTCGTGGTTCGACCCTGGCCTGGGAGATCTGATGCTCGAGTCCCACGAGCGGTACCGCGCCATCGATGACGACTACCTGCCCCAGCAGCCACTCGCACCACGCAGCGCTGACGACCCTTATGCAGCCGGACTCCGAGACGCTGTCGAGAGGTGAGGAACCTTGAGATGCGGGGACTGGACAGGGGGAACGTTAATGGAGTCAGCCGTGTCGCTATGTTTCTGGCCCCTCTGCACTGCAGGCGTCGTCAGAACTTGGATCGGCGGATGCGTGACCTGGACAAGATCACGAGCAGCCGCCAGCGCATCAAGGGCGGCCTCTTGACCGACGACATGCCCTGCCGCCTGGCCGTCAGTGGACTCACACCATTCATCGAGCAGCGATTCGACACCGTCAAACCATACATCCACTGCAACCGGGTAAGCAGCCACCCACAAACACGCCAAGGCACGGCACGACATGCAAATTACATGGGCACATCTCTCTGTGTGTGTGTATGTGATGTGCCCATGCAGACTGTGAGTCGTGTGACGTTGCGGACGTCCGGTGCGGCGAGTGGTGGCGTGCACTGTGAGGTGACGACGCGCGAGGGCTTTGAGTATCGCAGCCGGGGTGTGGTGTGCACCGTTCCCGTCGGGGTGCTGCAAGGCAGCCAGGGGGCTGCCGTCGACTTCCAACCACCACTCTCGCAGGACAAACAGAGGTCAGTGTCGTAGCTGTGTCTGTCTGGGTGGATACACACTGTGTGTGTGTGTGTGTTTCGTTTGTTTGTTCTAAAAGGGCGATTGGTCATCTTGGTATGGGCTGTCACGAGAAGGTTGTTTTGCGTTTCGCGTGTGACAAGGGCGGCGGGGCGCACCACATCTTCTGGCCGTCGACCACCTCCCAGATCAACACCACCGACCCACGATTCCAGTTCACAAACATGCACGCATACGGTTCGTTTGGAGGCACCTCACCTACTCTCATCATTCAGACCGACAGACAGACCCCCACACACAGATGCCGTCCGTCATATGTTGTATTGTATTGTGTTGTGTGTGCAGGCAAGCACGGCGTGTTGGTTGCGCACCTGTACCCGCCCTACTCGACCGAGACCCTCCCGACCCAGCCCGACGAGCAGGTGCTGACCGACATCCTCACGTGCCTTTATAAGATGTTCAAGCCCCGCATACACGCCCTCCTCTCCCTCCCCGCCCCACCCATCCCGGCCATCCTCGACCCAGACAGACAGCGAGCAGAGATCGAAAAACGCAAGAAGAAGACACGCAACAAGAACCGCAGCAAGACCCCCGATGCAGCCGCCGTCGCCACGGCCAACAGCAATGCGGCAGCGCAGATGGAGGACGATGTCTTGGGGGCGGCCGCAGATATCGGCGACATCGACTGGCCGGGGATGCGGGAGCTGCCGGGCGAGGCGGAGGACAACAAGTGGGCGACGTGGCGCGAGTGGGAGAGGAACGAGGACGCCAGGGGGCGGGAGGAGTGGGCGGCCGTCGAGCGGATGCGTAGACACTGGCTGGTGGGGTACCACATCACCAGATGGAAACAAGACCCATTCGCACAGGGTACAAAGGCCAACACACACACACACATACGCCTGGCGACACACACATGCCTTCCACGTATGCTATGCGGTGTGTGTGTTGTTATGGTGGGTGGTGCCTGCAGGCAGCTACCCCTATCTGCGTGAAGGCAGCAGCTTTGCCGACGTGCGTGCCCTGGCAGAGCCCGAGGCGTCCTTCGACGGCCGCCTCTTCTTCGCCGGCGATGCTACTGAGCCGCGGGGCTTCCAGACGGCCACTGGTGCATGGCGGAGCGCTGTGCGGGCCACTGACCAGGTGGGCAAATCCACCCAATCAATACCCATCTATCTTGGACCTGTTTGGTGTTGGTGTGTGCGTCAGGTTCACTGTCGGTGGGGCGCACAGGTGACTGCCCGCAACAGGCAGCAAGCATCGCAGCAGCTCAAGAGCAATGGGGTTCTGCCGATGGCCGACTGACTGTGTGCATGCCGGCTGGATGAGCGATGAATGAAGTAGACCCTGGCTGGCTTGGTTAACTTGATCGATCGGACACAGACAGACGTGAATAAATGTGATCACCCCACATTGTATCTCTCACACAACACACGCAGTCTGGCTACTCTGTTCTACGCAGCAAAGCAAATGGTATGTACCTTCCACGGTTGCCTGCCTCTCCGTCGATCTACCTGCAGGCCATACATGCCCGACGCTGCATCCCCTTTAAAACCCGTCTACTGCACGCTGTACATTCTGATTGCTACGCACCAGTGCAGAGCGGCGCACACCCATACACACGTCCAGTCCAGCCAAGTAGGTCTGTCTGTCTGTCTGTCTTTCAGTGCTGTTGTTTTGCGGCGTTGGTGCTGCCTCTCCGTCAGGCGGGGGCAGACTGCGCCTGCTTCTTCACCTCGCCTGCATAACCACATACATACATCCACCCACACACACAAATGTTGGGGGCCAGACATCTCCTACCTACATGAGCAAACACGCACGCACCACACCCTTACTTGTGTCAGAGGTGTTGAAGACCCGTTTGAAGCCTGACGATTCGGCCATCCTGGGAAACTCGGGCGGGTCATCCACCCACGGCAGAAAAGGCCTCTTAATCAAGCCCCTCTCCAGCTGCTTCAATGACGACTTGAGGGCCGCCGGTGTCTCTGCCCTCTCCCTATCGATGCTCAAGTTGCACGGTGGCTCATCGCTCTGTGCCCCCTCGTCGGCTTCCCCGTTTGACGTGCGAGAGAGACTCCTGCGTATCTGCAGAGGGGCGGATAAAAGGGGAGCGAAGGAGAGAGAGAGAGAGGGCATCCATCCATCCAGCAGCCCAGCAGCCCAGCAGTTGCCTGTGTGGCGATTGCGCTGCCGAGGTCGTCTGTGGTCTGCGTGTGCATACCAACCAGCTGTCTCCTGCTGTTGCTGCTAGGGCGGGTGTGGGTCGGCTGGTGCGGCAGGCCGGCGGTGCTGGATGTGCGGCTGCTGGTGCTGTCCGCATAGTACTGCACCTCATCGGTAGCTGCACAGATGTGACACACACATGCACAGCACAGCACAGCACAGCACCCATACGCACAATGAATGAATGCGTCGCACTTGCAGCCCTACATACCTGCAATGGACACATTGACCTCGTTTCTCTGCTCCTCTGCCTTCCTCTTGACAGCTTTGACTTTGCTGGGCAGGTCGTCCTCAGTGAGCTCATTATTGGCGAGCCAGTCTGCCGCTGAGGCCGTCAGGGTCGTGCAGCCATAGACTTCGCTTTTCAGGGTTGAGCAGATGGCGACATTGGGGTTCTGTGCACCACTGCTGTCTTCCAAGAAAGGCAGGCGGTCATGGGTGTACGTCATCAAATAAAATGTGTCTCCCGGTATGGATGCCTACTTGTCTTTTGTGGCGATGTTATGGAAGACGAAGTCCCGGTTGTCTTTCTCCTTGTCGGTCTTGAGCCTGAGACCCATCCAGTGGGCTTCCTGTAGCATGTGTGCACACAGGCAGACAGACATGCGCAGCGCATCTCCCTCACACAATGCCGTGCCATGCATGTCTCCCTCACTCACTCACTCACTCACTCCATGAGATAGAGACTGTATTGGTCCGTGCTCAAGACGACCCTGCAGGCAACCACCGTGACTTGTCTGCCGCGAATTGGTCTTTATTGTCGTTAGTTACTTATAGTCGTTACTTACATACTTGATAATTTTGACAGAGAAGACCATCCACTTCTTCCTCACTGCCGGCGCCATCTCCAACTGCAATCAGGCAGGCAGGAAGGCAAAAGGGAGAAGGAGAGTCTCGGTGCGTATGGTATTCTGTGCAGACAGCGGTGACTGACCTCAATCTGCCTCAAGGTCAGCGGATCGAACGCAAAGCATGACAGCTTCTTCACCGCCTCGCCCGTCGCCGTGCTACCTGAGACGGACGCACGCGCGCACACACACAGAGCGCTGTCTTGTGTCTCTTGTGTCTCTGCCGGCCGTGTCTGTCACCTTTGCGGCTGAGGCTTCTGAACAACTTTCCGGCACCGTCCGACATCTGCTGGTGGACGGCCATCTCGTGATGCACTGCAGCCATTGCAAACACACACAGGATAGATCCGCCGTCCACGCCGTGGGGCCGGCGGCACGAGGCGCAAGGGCGAACTTGTCATTGATGTCGTGGTGTAGCTCCTGAGCAAGGGCTTTGCAACGGGCACCACAGCACTCATCGGCGCCGCCTCAGCTGTTGTGTCACCCGGGGCATCGAGCTCCATGGTTTCGCCCCTCAGGGTGTTGCCCGGTTGTTTCACCTCCATGACCTGCGTTGTCCTCTGTGCACCCCGACACAGGAAGGCAAGGCACGAGCACACCATCCTTCCCGGCGAAGGGAAGAGAGGAGAGAAATTGGCCCCCATTGCGCGCTTCGGGGGCATCTTCCACGATCGCTGTCTGTTTCGCCCTCCAAGCGTCCCTCTCGGCTCCCTACTCCCGACGATGTCTGTTGCCAGCAACCGAGCACCAGAGAGACATGAAAAATGCCCTGACATACCGCCTGTGGCCCGAATATGCCAGTGGATAGAATTGTTGCGCTTATTCTGCGGCCAGAAAGGCAAAGAGTCGAATTTGCATCAAGTCCAAAGTCACTTCCGCTCAGACGCACTCGGCCCACGGGGGTCCACGCATGCAGAGGGCAAATTACCAGCCAGACGACTCACTCAGATCATAACACACAGCCAGCCACTCTCTGCAGCTCACGCACGCTTTCGGCATGAACGCTTGTGGTTGCGTCTTGCCTTTTTCCATCCTCCGGCCTCAATCTGTCAGCTCTCTCTACCACTACGGTCTCGCAGTTGTCTGACACAAGCCACCCTTCAAAACTCTCTGCATAGCAGTAATGAAGAGAACTGTCTCTGGAAGTTGCTCGCATCCATAAAGACAGCTGCTGCTGACCTGTTGCGTGCGACTGTATGTGTGTGGGCGTGGTCATCGGTAGTGGTCGCGGTCGCGGCGCTGGTAGTCGTCGTATCTGTCGTACGAGGGGCTGCGCCGGCCGCGGCCGCGGGGGGAACTGCATCAAAACACACACACACACAACACACACACAGACGCAGAGGTGTGATGGATGTGGCTGCCGATCGTGTGCATGAAGCAGCCACCCCGATAGATTGCAAGCACGTACGCAGGCACACATATCGCAATGGCACACACATGTCTGTCTGTCTGTCTGTCTATTGCATATCCACCCGGTGCCCAGCCCACATCGATCCATCCCGTCCCGTTACCGCCGTGCCTCTGGTGTTTGCCATTGTCAGTGTCAGTGTGTGCAGTGCACATGGGGGGGTGCGTCGATGCAGTACCGACCGACGGACTGAGGCATTGTGTACGGCAGCACGGCGTCCATCAACTAGCGAGCAAGGCAAGGAGGGCAGGGGCGATGGCGCAGCGTAGATAACAGAGCAGAGTAGTGGGTGGGATGGTAGAGTGGCTTTGCTCATGGCGGTCACGTCACAGGGCAGAGACAGCGGGCAGCTGGCCTTGCCCCCAAAACGATGGATGCCTTTGGTGAGGGCACGACACCCATGACCGACAACCGACACTGAACACAGCCACGTGACGTGCCGACGTATATGTGTGCGTACGTAAGTGTAAGTGTGTCTATCTTCATTTACGAACACATGTGCAACGAAAACCATAAACGCCCCCGACCGATGAGGGCAGAGGCAGCGGACATGTATGTGCGCAGCAGCCCCCTCCGCCCTCGCTCACTCGTCATGGTATCGGTCATCGTATTTGGAACGCGACGGGGGCGGAGAACGGGATCGCGAGCGATACCTGACACACACACACAAGTGCAGTGCCCACCGATATGAATAACAACTTGGGTGCGGTGCGCATCTGTCAGTCACTGCTGCCGAGCCCACAGACCGACCTGTCGTCATCGCGACCACCGCGGCGACGGCTGATGGACAAGACAACACACATGACATGACATGCACGCATACACATTTCTGTCTGTCTGTCTGGGGGTGTGGTGTGTGTCATGCGTACTCTCTGTTATCGTATCTGCCATAGTCGCGGTCGTCATAGCCCCTGTCGTATCCCCGCTGGTTGGCCCGGCCGCTCAGTTTGTCGTCGATGCGGTCATCTATCATCCGCCGGGCGTCGTCGCGCTTCTCCTCCTCAACACCAAAGATCAACAAACGCTCCGTGTCGCGGTCAGTCCTGCACACCAACACACAAGTGCCTCCCATGTGTCTGTCTGTGTGGTAGATGGGAGGGAGGGTATTGTGGATGATTACGAGTCTCCGTCCATGAAGCAGAAGGTGTCTGTCTTCTCCTCGACCTCCCGCAGCGAACGGCCCTTCTGGCCCGTGATGTACGAGATGCAGTCACGGGGAACGTTGAGCGTCGTCACGTCATCACTGGTATACACACAGACACGCACACAGACAGATGGAGAGGCTCTCGCGTGCCCCTTCTCTCTACGTCTCTCTATGTCTTCGTGTCGTGCCTGCGTGTGGTGGTAGTTACCGTCCTTTGACATCGACGATCACCCGAGAGGTGCGCTGCTCGCACAGCCAACCCAGATAGTCCTTGACGCGACGACGCTCCTTCTTGGTACCTACACACACATCACACACACACACACACACACATCTCCTCTCCTGTGTGAGCTGAGCGTCTGTGTGCGTAAGCAAGTGTGTGTGGTGTACCGGCCATGTATGCGATACCCCCAATGTACTCAAGGATGCACCCTGACGCCTTGGCCAGTTTGCGCCTCGTATTGCCGCGCTTCCCCAACGCATACGAGTAGTCGTCCGAGTGAATCTTCATCGTGTCTGCACACACACACACACACAGAAACACACGCTCACACACAGCGTAATAAACACGTGTGTGGTTGTGGATGCCATGAGCTCTGCATGCCTACCGGTGTCGAACCCCTCTCTGTCCGAGAAGTACTCGGTGGCCTTGCTCGAGTAGTAGCCCTCCACCTTCTCCTCAACCGCACTCATCACACGCAACTCACTCCCGCGACGACCACGCATACTGAGTACACACACACACGACATACATACATACATACCGTGCCGTCCGTCGTCTATCGTCTGTGTCTTTGTGCCTGTCTCACTCTTTGCCGAATATGGCGAGTGTCTCTCTGGGTTTGCTGCCTGTGTCGAGGTCCCTCTCGGCCATATTGCGCACGAAGAGCATGATGGTGCCCCACTCGTCCTCAATGGCCCGCAGCACCACACCACGGGCGCCCGTGACGTAGCCCGCACACTCGGCCGGTACGTCCAGCAGCGTCAGGTCGTCACGCTCGGCCATCTCGTCAAAATCCAAATACACCGGACCTGCACAGGTGGACAGACGAAGCCCAGATCAGATTGAGCGTATGTGCGAAACATTCGCGTGGTCATCCATCGAGGTCAGTCACCTCACTCACCTTGGCGCTGAGTGAGGACAAGTTTGATGTACATCTTGGCCCGCTCCAGATCCTCGCGCTTGCCACGAATCTCCAACGTCAGATCTGAACGACACCAGCATGGAATGACATCTGTGTCCTTTGTTGCTGTGGTGTGCGTTGCTGACCTCTGCTGCTCTCGCCGCCGCCCTTGTCTGGGTCGTGGATTTCTATCTCTGAGCCACTGGCGTACATGAGTTTGCGCTTGGTGCGGCCCTGCTTGCCGATGAGGAAGGCAGCCTCGCCGTTGTTGATGAACTGCACATCCTTGGACAGACGCTCACTGAGAAAGAGAGAGACGGACAGACACACAGGCAAAGGCAGGCAGGGAGACCGCACGTGAGACGGACACGAGTCTCTGAGCTCTTGGCTTCTCTGCTCAAAGTCTGTGGGGTGGCATCTCACCCGTTGCGATCATCATCGCGGTCGTCGTAATCTCTAGGCATCGTGGAAAGGAACTGGGAAGGCCAGCGATCGGGACCTTGCTTTTTTGCGAGCTTGAAGCCAATTTGAACTTCCTTGCCATGCATCACATCGCCAGTGCCTTCAAGAAGCAGGGCTATTATTGCCCGATCCGCGTATGCAGTGCAGCGGAGGCGTTCACGCTCAGGCACAACCTGGAGCAATGGGAAGGCATGCTGGAAGGAGGCAAGGTGAGTTGAGTCATGCAGTCACGACTGCATTCATTCATCTCTGCACATCCATCGACTGGCGGCGAGATCTCCCTCCCTCTGCAGGCCTCTAAGGACATGCGATTCCGCCCTCACCTGCTGCTACCATGGTTGTGGGATCTCGTTATGAAGCCAGAGGTGAGGGCGGGGGGGCTGGGGGGACGGACGGGTGCAGGCGGCCTTTGTGTCTGCAGGTGTTGGACGCCGTCGAGGCCGTCCTGGGGCCTGATGTTCTGGCGTGGTCATCAGAATTCAACATCAAGGTGCGCAAGAGGAAGGCGACACACTCATTCATTCACACGCAATCACACAGAGTACAAGTCGATCTGCCTGTTTGGTCAGGAGCCGCACACAGACTCTTTCTTCTCGTGGCATCAAGACAGCACCTACGCCGGCCTGGAGCCGTCAGACGATGTGTGTCCATAAGGGGGAGGGCGGGGTTCACATAGTGAGTGGGGTGCGAATGTGTGTTGTGTCCTGTGTGTCGATCCATCTGTCTGTTGTCTGTCTGTCTAGAGCAGGTGTTGACGGCCTGGATTGCCCTTGTGGATGTGAACGAGGCCAACGGGTGTATGCAGTACATCCCCGGCACACACCACAAGCAACTGCCGCACGTCGAGACCAACGACCACAACAACATGCTCAGCAGAGGTCAAACCATACACCAAAATGAATGCACGGCACCACGGAGAGACAGCACACAGACAGACAGACAGTGGTGCCGTGCCGTGCCGTATGTGTGTCTGCAGGCCAGACAATCCCCAACGTTGTGGACGAGAGCAGTGCTGTGAATGTGGTGCTGAAGGCGGGTGAGATGTCGCTTCACCATTTTCGTCTGGTCCACCGGAGCGGACCCAACAAGACAGACGACCGGCGAATCGGTCGGTGAGGGGCCAAGCAGACAGAGCAGACACACACGTCAAGCGTGAGTGTCCGTCCATCTATCTGCGTGTGGCCGTCCCATGTGTGTCTGTGCCTTCCTTTGCTGCTTGCACTGCACTGCCAGGGTACACGATCCGATTCATCAGCAAACGTGTCGCCCTCACCACACAACGCAAGTGAGTGAGTCGCTCTCAACGACCGATTGATGGATCCTCTCTCTATGACACACTGCACTCACTGCACGTATGTTTTCACTGGCTGTCCGCATGGGATCTGTTCAGGGTTCGCGAGAGCATCACGCTGTGCAGAGGTGTGTACGCGCCGGAGGAAGGCAACTTTGACCTTGACGTAAGACAGACAGCACACGCACCCAATCCATTCATTCATTCATCGAATCAGTCGGCCATCTCTCCTCTCCAATGAATGGATGGATGGATCTGTTGCCTGCCTGGCTGCATGTCATGATGCGTTTAGGTGAGGCCTGATGAGCTGATGGGTGAGGCCGAGGTGGCGCGGCACAGGGAGGCCATGGCAAGGGAGAACGCCAACTACTTCGATTCCGCCAACGTGACAGGATACAAGCACTGACAGTCCACAGACAGACAGACAGACTGGATTCTTCAACTTGGGGCGGGAGAAAACATGAATGCATGTTGATAGGGGGCAAATAACGCAATCCCAAGAATCTTTTGCCGCGAGCTCAAAGGCCCAATTGCAAAAGCCGACCTCTCCCGATCTTCACGACGCTGCTTCGCTGCTATTTTTGCGTGCAGCAGGCGCCATTGTGACTGCGGCGGGCGCCCACTGACGCCTGCCCTCTCTCGGCGGCGTCGGCTTCTAATGTGAAGTAATCCAAACCATCGCTCGTGTGTGGGGGCGGCAGACGGACCACCACACCACAGTCGTGACGAAGGAACGCTAGGGAATTGTCGGCTTGATTACTCGGTACCTTCGCAAGGAGGGCAACACCCACCCATCATGTTGCCGTCGCAGAGTGCGCTTGGTGCTGGAGATGAGGCGGAGAGTCTGGTCCCCTTCGGCGGCCTAGGCAAGGCATGCGTGTGCAAGCGGAACAGCCTACCCTTCTCTCCCTGGTCAGCCGCCAGCGACGCGTGCACAGAATGAGATGAGTGAAAGCACCGCGGTGGTTTGTTTATCGCGAGTGTTTGTTTGCGCTGTTTGTTGCGTTGGTGCACCCTCTGCAGCGGGTTGGAGGGTGAGGCTACTCGTGCGGGTTCTCAGTTCAACAGCACGCAGGACGCAGGCGCGTCGCAGCCGATGCTGAGCCAGCCCGCCGACCGCTCCACGCTCTCCACCTCCCTCCCGGAGACGCCCTGCTCACTCGACCGTGTCAACTCCAACTCGGTCTGCTCGGGCGACCTACCGGCCGTCGAGGGGCCGCGCGTTGGTGTGGTGGACGGGTGCGACGGGGGCATGGGCGGCGGCGGGGGTGAGCTGGTGCTGGGAGGGTATGGTGGCGGCAGTGGCGGGTGCGATGTTAGCGAGCCCGACACGCCCTACCTGCCCGGCATGTCCGAGCTGCGGCCATCGCTGAGGAGGGACATCACGTACGTATGACACGCGAGAGGGCGGGAGGGAGAGAGGGAGGGACGGGAGGATACAAACAGACGAACCAGAGCGTCTGGTCTGCTGTTGTGTTTTGTGTGTGCTGTGCGCTGATTGATGCATGTCATGTCATGTAGGTTGTCATCTGTGTGGGAGTCGACCATTCTGAAGAGGCGCGCGGCCATGAACATGGCCAGAGGGGGGCAATGAGCCGAGCCGAGCCGAGCCGAGCCCACCACACCATACAGTACCACACCATACACACACCGGATTGGATACACATACGATAGATACAATTGAGTGACACCATACATACGTCCCCCCCCCCCCCCCCCCCC